AAGTATTTCTTTGGGGGAGAGGCATTTATAAATAATATTTCATTTTTATTTTGGTTTCCACTTGCCTGTTGTCAGTATATAGAAATTCAGTTGACTTCGTATGTTGATCTTGTATTCTGTGACCTTACTCAACTCACTTAAAGACTTAAATATAAGACCTGAAACCATAAAACTCCAAGAAGAAAACATAGGCAGTAAGCTCTCTGACATCACTCTTAGTAGTGCTTTTTTAAAAATATGTCTCCCTGGGCAAGAGAAAAAAGAAAGGAAGGAAAGGAATAGGACTACATCAAACTCAAAAGTTTTGCACAGCAAAATGAAAGGACAACCTAGTGAATGTGAGAAGATATTCCCAATGATACATTTGAATAGGGGTTAATATCCAAAGAATATAAAGAACTCTTACAACTGAACACCAAAAACAAAACAAAAACAAAAAACAACAAGATTAAAAATGGGCAGAAGAACTTTATAGGACCTTTGGACATTTTTCCAAAGAGGACATACAGATGGCCAATAGACATATGAAAAGATGTTCAACATCACTAATCATCAGAGAAATGCAAATTAAAAGCACAATGAGATATCAGTTCACACCTGTCAGAATGGCTATCATGAATACAAACCAACAAGTGTGGGAGAAGATGTAGATGGAGAAAAGGGAAGCCTCATGCATTGTTGGTGGGAATGCAAATTGGAAGTGCTATGGAAAACATTATGGAGGTTCCACAAAAAGTTAAAAATAGAACTTTCATATTACCCAGCAATTCCAATTTTGGGTATTTATCTGAAGAAATCCAAAACATTAATTTAAAAAATATATGCATCCCTTGTTCACTGTAGTATCATTTACAATAGCCAAGAAATGGAAGCATTCCAAGTGTTCACCAACAGACGAATAGATAAAGAAGATGTTATATATGTATATATATATACACACAACGTAATATTACTTGGCTTTTAAAAGAGACTGAAATCTTACTATTTGTGACAACATGGATGGACCTAGAGGGTGTTAGGCTTAGTGAAATAAGTCAGACAGAGAAAAACAAATACCACATGATTTCATATGTGCAATCTAAAAAACAAAAAATTAACAAACAAAACAGAAACAAACTCAGATACAAAGACTCAGATACAAAGAACAAACTGATGGTTGCCAGATGTGAGGAGGTTAAAGGGCTGGGTGAAAAAGGTGAAGGGATTATGAAGTACAAATTGGTAATTACAAAATAGTCATATGGATGGAAGTACAGCATAGGGAATATAGTCAGTAATTTTATATTAACTATGTATGGTGTCAGGTAGGCATTACACTTAATTGGGGTAATTGCTTTGTGGTGTATTTATTTTATTTTAACTATATTATTAATTAATTAATTTTTGTTGTTGTTGTACATACCCTTAGCGGGAACCAAACCCTGGATTCTCTGGTCCGCAGGCCAACACTCCAACCACTAAGTCAAACCGGCCAGGGCTGGGGTAATTGCTTTGTAATTTATATAAATGTCTAATCACTATGTTGTATACCTGAAACTAATATGGAATGTCAACTGTAATTAAATAATTTTTTTTTTTTTTCCATTTTTTGTTCAGGTAGAGTGAGGGAGAGAGAGAGGAACAGAGAGAGAGAGAGAAACATCGATGTGAAAGGGACACATTGAGTGGCTGCCACCCGCACAACCGACCAGGGCCGGGGACAAACTGCAACCTAGGTACATGCCCTTAGCGGGAACCGAACCCGGGTCTCTCAGGACCGCAGGCCGATGCTCTAACCGCTGAGCCAAACCGGCCAGGGCTTAAATAATTTTTTTTAAACTGATACTGCCAAATCTTCAATAAGAACTGTTGGTGCAACATAAACCTCCTAATGTATACCCTCAGAAATAAATTCCTACCCTCTTGACAGAGGTACTCTATACCCAAAATACTCTTACTCCTAAAGGACTCCAAAACAGAAGACTTCTTTACTGAAATCAATCAAACCATCTCCTGCCTTGCCATTTTTCCATTCATGGCTCTGAAGAATACCTACGGTATCTAATATATAATTCTATCTAAGCACTGGTCTCTTCCCTAACAAATTACCAGGTAAGAGTATTACTTCTGCATCATGAGAATGCTTAGACCAAAAGAGCACAAGGGGAGGTGTTGCCAAGTGATTATATGAACATTAAATGTAGGAAGGGCATTTGATGAAGCACTGGGAAAGAAGGGGATCCATCCTCATTGTACCATCATTAACTGGGATGAGAAGGCCAGGGTAAATGGGTAAGTCACTATGTGGCAGAGCATTTCAGATGAAGTTATGTTATATCCTAAAAAACAAAAATTAATTTCATAAAACAAAGAAAAAGCTCAAAATGAACTCTAGCTTGGCTTTCAGAAGAGCAACTGTAACACTTTTCCCCTCTCATGGCTCATCTTTTTTTTTTTTTAATCCTCACCCGAAGACATTTTTCCATTTTTTGTTCAGATAAAGTGGGAGAGAGAGAGAGAGAAACATCGATGTGAAAGGGACACGTCGAGTGGTTGCCACCCACAGGACCAACCAGGGCCGGGGACAAACTACAACCAAGGCATGCGCCCCTAGCAGAACCAAACCTGAGTCTCTCTGGACCGCAGGCCGACACTCTAAGCAGGCTGACGCTCTAACCGCTGAGCCAAACTGGCCAGGGCATGGCTCATCTTTTGTAGTACAGCAAAACTTGTAAGGGAAAGGGAACCATGACATTCGGGCCTTTCTTAAGAGGCCAGACAGACTAAAATTAAGAACACATTCTTCATTACTAGTGCAAACAATAATAAAACGGAGACAGTTTAAAATGGAAGCTGCCATGCCAGAGGAACTGCCTTGTAAGCCTTATTTCTCAAACCTTGGAATGTTAAAACAGGGCAAAATAACTTTTGGACTAGAGCATAAGGCAACATTGTGTCCCAAACAACTGTTTGCAAAGATAACAGTAAAGCAGTTATTATTATGACTACTGGACTGAAAATTAAAACTACTGTATAGTGCCCTCGCCAGTTTGGCTCAGCGGTTGGAGTGTCAGCCCACAGACCAAAGGGTCGTGGGTTCAATTCTGGTCAAGGGCATGAATGTGCAGTTCGATACCAGCCCTAGTAGGGGTTGTACGGCAGGCAACCAAGCAGTGTGTTTCTCTCTCACATCAATGTCTCTTTTTCTCTCCCACCCTCCCACTGTATCTGAAAATCAATGGGAAAATGTCCTCGGGTGAGGATTAAAAAAACAAACAAAAAATCATTGTATTAGTATCAGCGTCATTATGTTATCTGCACCAACAGAAATGATGTAATTGTTTTCCTTTATTTTCTCATAAATACTCAAAATTGCCTATTTCCTAATTGGAACATTATTTGGGCTTCTGCCTGAATTACTGACCCTGGAATAGCTATTCTTATTTATCTCAAATAAATGCTTTTTGCCTCTCACTTCAACAGGCCTTTTATTTTTAGGGTAGCACTAGCAAGCCTCCATTATCTATATTAAACATACCAAGATGGAAGTATGAGAAAGACTGGAATACTGTGATCCTTCCTTCGGTCATAAAGAAAAGTCAGGTGCATTGAAGCTTGGGACTGGAATCTGTTTCCATGTTCTCAAGTCTTCTGTTAACAGAGCTATGAAAATGCTGTGGATTTGCATGCAGTTGGCCCCTACAGAATTTTGAAAAGGAACCTTAAGAAGAAAGAATTTTGCTTTTGGTGCCTACCTATCATGTTTTTCCTGCCTCGGGGGAAATTCCAGCTCTAAATTGCCATAATAAACAAAGGGTTGTGCTTTTTCCGATGGTACCATCATTCTAGATGTCATATTCAACTTCCCTTTCACATTCATTTTTTGTGCAGCTAGCGTTTCTGTGCAGTGTGGCTATAAGGTGAAATGACAGTGAAAACAAAAACAAAAAACCAGGGCAACAGATTCCAAGAAACCATGGAACTTACAATTGATTCCAGAATAGGCTACACTTAATGTAAGGCATACCTACTGTGTATTAACAGTACTAGGTTGGACAGTGGATAAAAGGTGCACTGAAGGCAACAGAGGCCATCCTTTAGAACAGGAGCCTCTGTGGTTAACAAGGGCTTCGGAGTCTTTGACAGGCACAGACTAAGTCACATAGGGATTTTGTCCATAGACTCCTCAGCCCCAGAACAGCAAAACTGAAGCTCTACCCTCCTAAAAGTAATAAAAGTTAAACTAGGATAATTTTTCTTTAAACGAGGACAGTTTTGAGCTGTCTCCAGTCAGTCACCATACCGCTTTTACGGGATCACTCGGTCGCAGTATAGCGCACCTTACAGTCACAGCCGACCACGGTCATTAAAAAGGCTCCACCCCCCTCACAGTTCTAGGAGCCTAATCAGGGCCAATCAAGGCCTCCCTACCATGCACACATCCTGCGCACGATACACACACGCGCACACAACACACAAACACACTCTCATAATCACATCCCATGCTGACGCACACATCCATGCACACACCCACGATCACCTTCCCCCGCAGGTGATGCACACAGAACCGAGGCTCCTGCCTCCACTGACTGCACCCGCATCTGCAAAACTCCGGGTCTCCTGCAACCCCAACCCCGCATCACCTCAACTCACCACACAAATAATGGTGAGTGCAAAGCTAGCGTAAAATGAGCCAGAGTTCGAAGTTCATTAGCTCCCCCAGGGGCTGTGAGAAACGTAATCCAAGCCACAAAAGCGCAGACGTTGATACAAGACTACCTGAGGCGCCACAGCTGGGATCTCCGCTGCTCCTTTCGGGACGCCCCATGGACTCCTGGGAGCGCGAGCTCACGCGGGAGTGCGCAGGCGCAGACTACTGACCCTCGGCGGGGGGTGAGGCTTGTGGGTCTTAGGGGCTCTGGAAGAGGAGGGACCTGGAAGCTCAGGGCGGGGAGGTCAGACTAGGGAAGCGGGGCCCAGCGGGGAGGCCAGGAGGGAACTAGGAGTCAAACCCGGGCCTGGTTATTCTGAGGAGGGAACCGGAACTGGTCCCGCGGTAACCATACACTCAGATCTGTGTGAGTGGGGCCCCGGGCGTGGTCTGTGGGCGTGACCGTGAGAGTGATAATCGAGTGTGACCTGGAACGAGCTCGGTGGGGGGTTGGGGGTGGGTTTTGTCTGTTTTGACTGAAGAAACGCCATCGCAGCGAACAGGGCCTTACGGAGGGCGGTGTGTGTGTGTGTGTGTGTGTGTGTGTGCGCGCGCGCGCGCGCATAAAGCGGGCCTCCTGTCCCAAATAGCTGCATTTTGGGTGCATGCTACTCCGGGAGAGGTTAGGGAGGATTGCGTGTGAAAAGTGGACGGGGTAGTGTTGCTGCTTGGGTTTCTTCTGCCTTTGTCTATTTTTAGATTAGGTGTGAGTCGTGTTCGACACTGTTGGTGATGATGGAGAAGCGAAAGTGATTTGTAATGTGACTTTCTGACTTTGCTTGGAATTATATAATGAATGTGCTGTCTGAGGTTGTGAATGATATGTGGGGGCTATGGGATGCTGTGAAGTCTGATTGAATGTAAACTATGCATGTGTTTGTAACCTACTGTTACTTTTTGTGATGGAGAGACTGCATGACCATTGTCTAGTTGGGTATGTAAGATTTGATTATCTGAATATCATTCATTACGTGTGCCTCCAAAATTGTAACTCAGTAGCAATTTAGCAAATAAAATAGTGGTGTAAGTATTGGAAAGGAAGAAGTAACAGTTTTATAATTCCTAGATGGTAGATTCATTGCAGGGAAACACCATATGAACTAAAACTAATGTGTTAAAATGAACAGTGTTCCATAATTAATGCTTTCAACACTGATATATGTGAGGTTTCTTGCTTCCGGATGAAATTGGTGGCAAGGTTAATAGCTTCTTCAGAAATTCTAAGAATAAAGAGTATTTGGTACACTTTTAAACACAAGGCCAGTCTTGTTTTAGTAACTGAAATAGTTATTTTGTGAATTAAAATATTCACTATATCAGTCAATACTTCAGACTTAGCAAAATATTATCCTTTCTGCCTAGAAACCTACAAAGTGGAGATCAATTTCTTTTCTATTTCCATACCTATACTACTAAAAAGTGTTGCTTACTAGTTAATATTTAAGTTAACTATTTGGAAATTAATAATGAATAGTTTTCAAAAATTAACTGTGCTTACTAAGTAGTGTGAAACAGATGAATCAATAAAGAGATGAAGTAGAGGAATAGAAAGTCCAGATATTCTCAAGCAGATAAGGATATGTAATATATGATAGAGGTGGCATTTTATATCAATTGAGAAAGTATGGATTATATGTTATGTAGTATTGCTAAACAATAAGACACTGGAAAAAATCTTCACAAAACAAAGACATTTTAATACTCATATAAATATTATATGAAATTTTTGCAACTTTAAGTAGGTAAAGGGTTAATTTACTAAATTTCAAAAACAAATATCTCCCAGCTGGTGTGGCTCAGTGGTTGAGTGTCCACCCATGCACCAAGAGGTTGCTAGTTTGATTCCTGGTCAGGCACATGCCCAGGTTGTGGGCCAAATCCCCACTGGGGGGCATGCAAGAGGCAGCCAATCCATGTTCTCTCTCGTCAGTGTTTCTATCTTTCTCTTTCTCTCCCTCTCTCTCTAAAATCAATAAAGAAAAAAAAATTTTTTTTAAATGATATCAACCAATGAGGAAGTAAAAATCCATAAAAAAAGAGACATACTATAAGAAGATGCCATCACATAAAATAAAAACTTCTTTAAACTTATTTTTTTAATTTTTATTATTGATTAGAGAGAAGCAGGGGAGAGAAAGAAACTGATTTGTTGTTCCACCTATTTATGAATTTATGGTTATTTTATGTGCCCTGACTGGGGATCAAACCCTCAACCCCTTGGTGTATTGGGATGATGCTCTAACCAACTGAGCTACTCAGCCAGGGCCTTCTATAAACTTATGAAAAGGAGCTTATTCTCACTCATAATAAGGAATGTGTAAATTAGAATTATATCAATAACAGATATTGAAAATTATTGTCAGCTAGCAGTATTCATCAAGGTGTAGGGAGGTATTCTTGCTGGTGGCAGTATAAATTGCTAGAAAGCCCATGAAGAATAATTTGGAAATATATAATAAACCTATCATCTATGGGAGATGAAGATCTGTAGAGAGAAACACACAATGTTCCCTCTCTCCAACCATAACAGATTCCTCAGAATTTATTCTACCCCACATAATGGTTTCTGGTGTTGGTGAGGGAGCAGGATTTGTCCAATTAATCTGTCTCCTGCAGTTGCGTGGGATACACAGAGTGGGAAAATGCTAAAACAGTGAAAATTGATGTGGATTTAACTGAGTTATTCTGGGAGTTCTAAGTCAAATATGGTTTCACATAGTTCCTTCTATCTTCCCATCTCTGCCTTCTCAGAACTCTTCCCTTTCCAAAAGAAGAGCTCAAAAGAGAAGGTTCATCTCTTGCAGATCTCACAGCTATGCCTCAGGTGAGATGATGTTTCCTCTCTTTCTGAAATAATTTGTTTTCAGGTTATATGAACATTTATTTCACTATTCTTAAATTTCCTGGATGGGAATTTGCTTCTATGAAACTAGTCTCCAGTAGGGCCCAGATAAGGTGAGGCAAGCAAGTGGCCTAGATACAAAATTTAAGGAGTACTCTCAGAGCTGTACATCCCTAAATTTTGCACCATAGGTGCCTTGCCTGCCTCACCCTAGTTGAAGCCCTGTTCCCAGTTTCTCTTATTCCAACCAGATAAATTTAACCTTCCCCAAGTGCACCTTCCAGTTGGTGCCAATGTTCACATATAGATTGGGTATATTATCATAATTTCCTTTCTGTCTTCTCACAAAAAGTACTGCTGGAACACAAATGTATTATCTTGATTTAAATGGGAATATATTACTTGAATGAATCTAGTCTAAACATTGATTTGAGATCTAAGTTGTGAGGAATAAAGGTGCAGACATGGAAGAGGCTGGATCATCCCTACTGACCTAGGTCTTGCCGTTCTGGATCGCATTATTAGTTTGTTGTAAGATGTCCTGTTTTGTGAGGTTTTCAGGATAGAGATTTACTTGTAAGCTTGTCAGAAAACTGAGATTTGGCATTTCTCCCCTTTAATCCTCCTATTGCCCATGTCTGCCAGCAATTTCTACAAACTGTGGCCTGCCAGTGAAAACCTTTCCAGTATTCCAATGCTGTTATAGATTAATTATATTAATTATATTTTTAGTTTCTTCAGTGTTCTTATGTGTGGGTGCAAAAGAAGGAAATGCATATGCTAGCCCACTCTTGAAATAGTCTACTCTTGAATCAAAGGTGGTACATTGTTCTATTTTAATATTTTTCTTTAAAAAAATTTATCTTCATCAACCAAGCTTTTAAAATATTGGTTTTCCAAAGATGCTAATTAGTTCTCTTCACCATCTCTTTTTCTGTATTCACAGTAAAATTGCTCTAAAGATTATACTGATCTGATTCTAGTGATTCTCAAATACCTAGACCTTTATCCAGAGTGTCAGAACCATATATCCAACCTCCAACAGCTATCACCACCTAAATGTTCTATGGTCACTTAAAGTACATTTTCAAAGCTGCCCTCATTACCTTCTTTGGTCCAGCTTATTGTACTTTCTTCTGTTTCCCATTTCCATGTTCTAGTCCCAGCAGTTATACAGATAACTAAAGAGCTATGCCTCTCTTTTTCCACTCTACAACCAATTTATGACCAATTGTGTTACAACTCATAATAGCAACCGGCAGTCCCCTGTCTAAACCAATAATAACACCTTAATCTAGGAGACATCTCTAACGGTGGTTACTTAATTGTTTTTCTCACCTAATATATCTCAAGCCTTCTCTAGACTTCAAGAGTATTGCCTCTAAAGTACAAAATGTAGTATATAACATATGTGTTGACTTAATGTTTCTTCATTTTCTTTATACTCCATAAAGCAGCAACCCAAAGTGGAGTTTGTGTTACAGTGGAATGTATAAGACTTGTTGAAAGGGAGGAAAATACTACAGTTTACCTTCAAGAACAGTAGTCATTAACTATGTGGATTGCCATTAATGCCTACTGGTAATTTATAAATAAAGACTAATCTGTTGTGAGTGTGCTCAGCACGTTTTTAGGACCACTGCTCTATAGGAAAAAATCCAGTATTATTCCATAAATATACCCACTGCCTACCTCCATGTACCTTTTCCTTCTTAGAGCTCAAAGACTCTTTCTTAACAAACTGTCTTTTGTATTTCCTGAACTTACTAACTGGTTTTCTCTATTGATGAATTTTAAAAGCCAATGCCCTGTATTCCTTCAAAACAAATTCATTGTGAATTCAAAAATTTAAAAAAAAAATGTTTTTTCCTTTTATTGATTGTAGCGAGAAAGGTAGGGAGGGGGAGGGGGAGAGGGGGAGAGGGAGAGGGAGAGGGAGAGGGAAACATCAATGAGAGAGAACATCGACCAGCTGCCTCCTGCATGCCCCCCACTGGGGATCAAGCTCACAATCTGGGCATGTGCCCTGACCAAGAATCGAACTGGTGACCTCTTGGTGCATTGGTCAGTGCTCAACCACTAAGCCACACCGGCCAGGCATGAATTCAAAATTTTTATGTCCCTAGTGAAACCTTGAAATATAAAATGACATTTTTCTTCATTTTTGTAGCACTTTTCCTCATTCATATTTCTGTCATTGCATATGCTCCCTCTTAGCCTGCAACTTCTCATTATTGCCATCAGAATTTTATTGATTTTGGTCCATTCAGCAACCAATTACATTCAAGGCAAATAGTATGTTCTCATATATTTTTTGTATGAGATAAGTAAATACAGATGAATGTATTTTCAGAAAGAATGTTCTGCAGTATAAAACAAGTTAAGAAAACTAATATGACCACTGAATATGGTCAAAACTAGGTCTCCAATATCTAGTTTTCACTAGTTGCAGTCACTTTAGGATGAACTAGAGTATGACCTTACAGGGATCAGTGTCATTCAAGGATGTGACTGTGGACTTCACCCAGGAGGAGTGGCAGCAACTGGACGCTGATCAGAAGGCCCTCTACAAGGATGTCATGTTGGAAAACTATTGCCACCTCATCTCTGTGGGTAAGGAGAACTCCTTGAATCTTTCAGTGTCCTGCATCTCCTTTCAAGAGTTTCTGAAACTTAATGGAACTTTGAATTTTAGGGAACAGAGGTGATGAATCCCTTTTTGTTAGCAGAAAGTATGGTTATGTTCTCACTTGCTTAGTTCAAGGTGTTAACTTTGGTAAGATGTTAATGTATACCTTGTCTGCTGCCTTGAAGCTATATCTTTCCCTTCCTTCAGTAGTTTCGAAGCCCAAAAAGATTAGATTAAGTCTCATTTATTTTTTAAAAATTTTATTGAATGCATTGGGATGACATTGGTTAATAAAATTATGTAAGTTTCAGGTATACAATTCTGTAATACTTCATCTGTATATTGTATTGTTTGTTCACCACGCCAAGTTAAGTCTCCTTCCATCACCATTTAATCTCCCCTTTACCTTCTCCTCCCACCCCACTTTCCCTCTTGTAATCACCATACTGTTGTCTATATCGCTGAGTTTTCTTCTTTGCTTAATCCCTTCACTTTTTTCACCCAGCCCCTAACACCCTTCCCCTCCGACAGCTGTCAGTCTGTTCTCCATAACTATAACTCTGTTTCTATTTTGTTTGTTAGTTTATTTTGGTCATTAGATTCCACATATAAGTGAAATCATATGGTACTTGTCTTTCTCTGACTAGCTTATCTCACTTAGTATAATGCTCTTCAGGTCTATCCATGCTGTTGCAAAAGGTAAAATTTCCTTCTTTTTTACAGCTGAGTATTATTCCATGTGTAAATGGACCACAGCTTTTTTATCCACTTATCTACTAATGAGCACTTGGGCTGCTTCCAAATCTTGGCTATTGTAAATAGTGCTGCTATGAACATAGGGGTGCATATATTCTTTTGAATTAGTGTTCCAGGCTTCTTTGGATATATTCCCAGAAGTGGAATTGCTGGATCATAAGGCAGGAATCACGCTGCCTGATAACAAACTCTACTATAAGGACATAGTACTCAAAACAGCATGGTACTGGCATATAAACAGACATATAGATTAATGGAACAGAATAAAGAGCCTGGAAATAAGCCTCATTTTTTATTATCAGGGTTCCATATGACTAAACCTGATATGATCCGCAAGTTGGAAGAAGGAGAAGAACTATGGACAACAGAGAGAATTTTTTCAAGTAAAAGTTATTTAGGTGAGTCTGTACAGATAAAGGCCAGTGAGTGGACTCAAGTAGTTGACACCTTTGAGTGTTTTTAGGGCTATATATGTTTTTTGTTTGTGGTAAAATACATATAACATAAAATTTACCATCTTAACTATTTTTAAGCATATAGTTCAGTGGTGGCATTAAGTACATGTATATTGTTGTGCAACTATTACCACCACTCATCTCCAGAACTCTTTTCATCTTGCAGAACTGAAACTCTGTACTCATTAAATAATAACTCCCATTACACCCTCTCTTTTTCCCTTGGCAACCACTATTCTTTCTGACTCTGTGGATCTGACTACTTATAGATACCTCCTGTAAGTGGAATCATATGGTATTTGTCCTTTTTTTATGACTGGCTTATTTAACTTGACATAATGTCCTCAAGGTTCACCCATGTTGTAGTACGTATTTCCTGCCTTTTTAAGGCTGAAAAATATTCCATTGTATGTATATATATATATACCACATTTTGCTTATCCATTCATCTGTAACTTGGGTGGCTCCCACCTTTTAGCTTCTGTGAATAATGCTGCTACAAATGTGGGTGTACAAATATCTATTTGAGTCATTGCCTTCAGTTCTCTTGGGTATATAACCAGAAGTAGAATTGCTGGGTTATACAGTAATTCTGTTTAATTTTTTGAGGAACTGCTATACTGTTTTCCATAGTGACTGCACAATAGGATTAAACATTGCCACCAACAATGTATCCAGGTTCCAGTTTCTCCACATCCTCACCCACATATATTATATTTTGGTGTTTTTTGATAGTAGCCATCTTATTAAAGGCCTGAGATCTTGAAGAGCCTATACATGATTGACTTCTATGCCTCTAAAGTCTAAATTTAGTTTGAATATCATTCCCCATGTAAGTCCTTTCTTTGTTGCCCGAGATATTACTTGCTATTTCCTTACCAAGAATTCACTCCATGTTTTGTAGGTATAATGTGCAGAGATCTTAAGTGTAAAATTATTTGAGTTCTGACAGAAATATAAAGCCATGTATCTCATGCTCCAGTCAAAATAAAGGACACTTCTATTAATCTATTAAGTTCTATCAAGCCTCTTCTAAGTCAGTCCCTCCCACTACAACAACCACAGTAGTGATTTCTACCAGTATAGATTAGTTATGTCTATCCTAGACCTTTTTCATGTCAACTTTCTTTCACTTAGCTTAACGTCTGAGAGATGTTGTTAATCCTCACCTGAGAATCTTTTTCCATTGATTTTTTTGTTAGATAGAGTGGAAGGGAGGGAGGGAGAGAGAGAGAGAGAAATACGGATTGGTTGCCTCCTACATGACCCTAGCTGGGGCTGGGGATCAAACCTGCAACCCAGATACATGCTCTTGACCTGGAATCAAACCTGTGACCCCTTGGTCTGCAGGCCAACACCCTACCCTCTGAGCCAAACTGGCCAGGGCAATGTCTGAGAGATTTATACATGTTTTTGCATATATAAGCAGTTTACTTTAATAGCAGAATAGTATTCAGTTATATGAATACACCAGTTTATTTATGCCTCTCCTATTGATAGACATTTGAAATGTTCCAGTTTGGGGCTATTGCGAATAAAGCTGCTGTGAACATATTCTGATGTCTTTTTATGGACATGTTTTTACTTCTCCTCAATAGAAAACTAGCAGTTGATATCATTCATTCAAAGGGCAGTATATAGTTCACTTTTTAAGAAACAACCAGTTTTTACAAGTTACTAAACCATTTTAAACTTTTTCAGCAATGTATGAGAATTTTGGTTGTTACCAGTATTTTCACTTTGGTCATTCTGAAGGGTATGGAATTATATTTTTGCACTTTTAGTTTATATTTCTCTTATAACTAATGATGTTGAAAACCTTTTCAAGTGTTTTTTTATATCTTCTTCAGAGGTGCCTGTTTAAATGGTTTACCCATTTCTTATTGGGTAATATTTTTTCCTTGAGTAATAGGAATTTTTTATGTATTCTAGATAGAAGTGTTATGTTTGTTGTGGTGTTGCAAATATTCCCTAGTCTGGTTTAGTGGTCTCTTTCAATGAGCACAAGTCTTTAACTTTGATGAAGTCCAGTGTATCATCATTTCATCCATAATTATTTCTTTGATCTCTGAAACAAATATTTGCCTTCTCCGGAGTTGTGAAGATAGTTCCCTGTATTTTTATTTTTTTTTAATCCTCACCCAAGGACACTTTTCCATTTTTTGTTCAGATGGGGGGGGGGGGGAAATATCGACGTGAAAGGGACAGACACATTGAGTGGTTGCCACCTACAAGACCCAACCAGGGCCGGGGACAAACTGCAACCGAGGTACATGCCCTTAGCGGGAACCGAACCTGGGTCTCTCTGGACCGCAGGCCAATGCTCTAACCACTGAGCCAAACTGGCCAGGGCCCCTGTATTTTTTTCTTAAAATGTTAGTTCTGTGGCCCATCTCATGTTAAGAGGTGTTTATAATGTAAGGTAAGGGTAGAAGATCTGTTTTCTTCCATATGGATATCAATTTATCTCATCACTTCTTCAATTGATTAATTGTTCTGTTGATCTTATCAAAAATCGATTGATTGTGTTTGTGTCAGTCTGTTTTTAGACTGTTCTTTCCTTTGATATGTTTTAAATCCTATTACCAATACCACCTGGTCTTTGATTATTTCAACTTTATAATAAGTCTTGAACTCAGAGTAAGTCCTCTAACTTTCTTCTTTTTAAAAATTGTTTTGGCTAGTCCAGGTCATTTTCTTATATAAATACATTTTAGAATCAATTTCTAGATTTCTTTAAATAAATGTGCTGAGATTCTTATTGGTGAAAACTAACATCGTAACAATATTGTCTTCCAGCCCATGATTATACTTTCCATTTGAGTTAGCTTCTCTAATTCTTGTAAGCAGTGTTTTATTATTTTTGGTATATTGGTTTTGCATTTTTATTAAGTTTATCTCAAAGCTTTTAATATTTTTTAAATTTTTTATTTATTTTTCAATTACAGTTGACATACAATATTATATTAGTTTCAGGTGTACAAGATAAGACATTTATGTAACTTACAAAGGGATCACCCTGTTAAGTCTAGTACCCATTTGACATAATATATAATTATTACAATAGTATTTATTTTTAAAGCAAAAAATTTTTTTTATTAATTTTTTTATTTTTAAATTATACTTGACATTCAATATTACATTAGTTTCAGGTGTACAAGATAGTGATTAGACATTTATGTAACTTACAAAGTGATCACTCCAATAGATCTAGTACCCATCTGACACCATACATAGTTATTACAGAATTATTGACTATATTATACCCTATGCTATACTGTATATCATCATGACTATTTTGTAACTACCAACTTGTACTTCTTAATTCCTTCCCCTTTTTTACCCATCCACCAACTCCCCTTCCCTCTGGCAACCATCAGTCTGTTCTCTGTGTCTATGAGTCTGTTTCTGTTTTGTTTATTCATTTGTTTTTTTTTGTTTGTTTGTTTGTTTTTCATCCTCACCTGAGGACATTTTTCTATTTTTTGTTCAGATAGAGTGGGAGGGAGAGAGGAAGAGAGAGAGAGAGAAACATCGATGTGAAGGTACACATTGAGTGGCTGCCACCCGCACAACCAACCAGGGCCGGGGACAAACTGCAACTGAGGTACGTGCCCTTAGCGGGAACCGAACCCTGGTCTCTCTGTACCGCAGGCTGATGCTCCAACCGCTGAGCCAAACTGGCCAGGGCTATTCATTTGTTTTTTAAAATATACATATAAATGAAGTCATATGGTATTTGTCTTTCTCTGTTTGACTTATTCAGATAGCATCATATCCTCTAGGTCCATCCATGTTATTCCAGATGACAAGACTTTATTCTTTTTTTATGGCAGAAAAATATTTCATTAAATATACGTACCACTTATTTTTAATTCATTTATCTACTGATGGACACTTAGGTTGCTTCCATATCTTGGCTATTGTAAATTATGCTGCAGTGAACATATGCTTGCATACATCTTTTTGAAATAATATTTTGGGTTTCTTGGGGTAAATGCCCAGAAGTGGAATTGCTGGGAATAGCCTTTGTTTTAAAGTTTAATTTATCACATATCAATATTGCTATCCCAGCTTTTTAAAAAAAAAAGCTGAAATAGCCCTGGCCGGTTTGGCTCAGCGGTTGGAGCGTCGGCCTGCGGTCTGGAGAGACCCGGGTTCGGTTCCCGCTAAGGGCACGTACCTCGGTTGCAGTTTGTCCCCGGCCCTGGTTGGGGTTGTGCGGGTGGCAGCCACTCGATGTGTTCCTTTCACATCGATGTTTCTCTCTCTCTCTCTGTCCTCTCCCCCCCCCCCCCCGCACTCTACCTGAACAAAAAAAAATGGAAAAATGTCCTCGGGTGAGGAAAAAATAAAAAATAAAAAAAATAAAAAATAAAAAAAGCTGAAATATCTTTTAGCATCCCTTTGCTTTTAGTCTGTGTGTATCTTTCTTTCTGAGGCAGGTCTCTTGTAGACTGCATAAATATGAATCTTGCTTTCTCATCCATTCAGCTACCCTATGTCTTTTGATTGGAGCATTTAAGCTATTTATATTTAGAGTGATTACTGATAGGTATGTATTTATTGCCATTTTATTCTTTTAACTATATTCCTATGTTTTTCTCCTTCTTCTTCCTCATCCATTTTTTTAAATGTCTTATTGATTTTTCAGAGAGAGAGAGAAACATCGATGTGAGAGAGAAACATTGATCAGCTGCTTCCTGCACACCCCCAACTAGGGATGGAGCCCACAACCCAGGCATGTGTGGTGACTGGGAATTGAACCAGAACTCCTCAGTCCATGGGACGATGTTCAATCCACTCAGCCACACTGGTTGGGCTTCATCCATTTATTCCTATCCTTCGTCCTTCTTTTCTTAAACCAAGCCCCTTATCATTTCTTGTAATATTGGTTTGGTGGTAACAAACTCCTGTGGCTTTTTCTTGTCTGGGAAGCTCTT